CAAGGACTACAGGACTTTAGCCAATTTCTAACGCTGCTGAATGTGTCATTGTACCAAAACGATCTGCCAACCACTAGTCCATGTTATTCACAGGTCGCTAGTATATACGTAATCGGCGTACAAATCGCTCATTCCCTCATTTATCAACGCTTGTCCTATTTTAAATCTCATCAAAAAGTGTCTCCTCCTCATAATAACAACGACGTGATATAACTGGAATAGTGTTTAAAGCGGCGTTAAATCCGACTCGCTCACTCATAATGATGCGTTTTACCAGATGCACACAATTAGGAAGGCATTACCAGTATCCACTGATGAAAGAAGAGGAAAGCCACCGTAAACAAACAGACCGAGTAGAAGACTGCCGTCCTGCTGAACTGGAAAGAGACACCGCTTCTACACCTATGAAAGAAATATAAAAGGGATGTGTCTAGTGGTTAAACAAAAGCGTACTACAAAACTAGAAATGAGAATATACTGACATGCACACACCCGTTTCTAAAACCCTTTTGACAATTCGGCCCACATATAGGTTAAGTTATGCATACATAAAGAATATGTTTTCTGGTCTAGGAAGGCCTTCTATTTTGTTAGCAAATATTGTGATCCCTTTTCAAGACCAAAGATCGTTTTAGGGATGTTTCATTTGCTAGTACCAAGTCGTGTGGATTATATAAGCCTGAATATAAGTGTGAATAATCCTAATGATGTGCTTTTGGAGCTATACCGCTTCAAAAGTATAGAGTTTTTCGAGAAAACAGATATCGACATCCGGAATGTGTTGAAGAAACATAAAATATTTTCACATCTAATCTGGCACAGAATGTGATAATGTGATTTAAAACAGCTATTGCGTTATTAGATATATCCACACACTGATATGTTACAAACGTTTGACGTGAAAATCGTATCTACAAAAGAGCAGCTTAAAGCATAGATTACATATTGAAAGCTGGAAGATGAATAGGAGTTGTACGTAGGTATTTGTCAAGAAGGGGACTGTGGTTTCGGATGTTGGTCAATGTAAAATATAGCGAACATACCACGTTGTCTTAAGCAAAATACAACATGGTTCCATTATGAAATTATAAAAGAAGCATGAAGCATTATTGGCACAGAGCCTCTTCCATAGATGAGACAAGCCTGTGGCACATGAGTTCAAGCACACAGATATACTAATACCCCGTTCACATGCGCCTCTATACATATGTGTGTATATGTGCATACGTGTGTAGAAATACATACGTGAGTATACTAGACATGTGAACGCGTTTACTCGTGTGTGTATATTTACACCAGGAGCAAATTTGCATCAGGTAATGTAATTTGCAAAGGTAAATGTAAATTTGCACTGTTGTGTATATGTTGCAATGTGAACGTCTATGTTAACGTAAGGGGATGATCTAATTAAAATCTGTTCTTTTGCCAACACCACACAAATTGTCAAAAGTTGCCAACTTTTATGCGCATACACAGAGTTGAGGGTTGAGCGGACAGTGTTTTCTTTTGGTTTCAAGGAGTCAAAACTTTGTGTACAAATTAAATCAAACACATGCTGCTTTACGCGAAAATCTTCGGTGAAGTAACTCTCTTCTCATAGAACTTTGATTGGAAAACAACCTGTTTTGTGTGAACAGACTGACGAATATGTGTGCCTTACACAATTTACATACTTTATTTACACACCTAAGTTGATTTTTGTGTGTACGCATAGTAAATTTACATAAATACACACGTATTTATAGTTACATATGTGCAAAATTACTTACGTCAGTAAATGTTGTGCATGTGAACGGGGTATAAGAATACAACAGATCACGTCTGGTTAACCAACCAATCAACCATTATTAGAATTCGTTCCTTCAAAACGAGGACTTTAAGCTTAATAATATGAATGATTAAAGTATGATAAAACACTTACCTTTCTGAGCAGTATTCCTTCCTGTAAAAATCCTCTGTTACGAAAGTAAAATTGTTCAAAACACAATCCAAGAAAAGGAATTAATCTAAATCCGTCTTGGCGTCTCCTTTGTCCAATAAGAAATCCTTTAAATTATTGTCCGTCGAAATATTTTCACTTTACGCTGTAGAAAGATGAACTTGAATTGAAAAATCCTCCAGTATGCGTTTGGAACAACTGTTGCTGTTGACAAATTGGTAAAACCGTATTCCAATAATGAAAATAAATATTTTCCATTGCATCCAATTGTCGTCTGACAGTGAACGCTCACCAGAGGTCCGTGCAGCGGAAACGACCTGTGATTGGTTGATGCGACGAACGGAAGATCACGTGACAAACTGACAGAACACCTGCGTTGAAATGTACAACGTCTCTAAATTGTTTTGACATTTGTTTGGATACATCTTACACTATGTTAAACACAACATTTTCTGATGAATCAACGTATATCTTAAAGACTGAGTGTAAAAGACAGATAAGGTTTAGGCCGCGTAAAAATGGGGAGGGGGGAATGACATTTATTATTTATTATTGAAAAAAAAACGTGATAAGGGGGGAACACCTTATATTTTTCCCACCAAGAATACCAACAAACTCATTACCTGATCAAACATTGAACTCGAATCTTTAATTCAATGCCAGTTGTCGAGCATGGAAAACAGTGTCTACTCATATGACTCGGGGAAACTATTTTCTATTGGCAATACAAACAACTGAGTGGGGACACAATATTTTACTTTCATAAAGAATGGTCGTTCTGTTGTTGACGATGTAGTTACATCTCACAACGATCTTCCCTTGTATTCCGACTTTCATATAATACCTATGTCATCGTTGTAAAATGGTTCTAATGTCCCGCTGTTTACCAGATCATCCAGTTACCCCACCAGTCGACATGCAAGCTGATATAGTGATGGATAAGTGGGTACCCGGTAGATATGTGTGATAAAAACCCGGCTACGTTTTCTGCAGGTGAACGAATGTTCCGATGGGTTATTACAGACAACTGCCCGTATAGAACATACCAACCCGTGAAGATCCGGGGTAGAAAATGTCTTCAGAAACCCATGCTTGTCGTAAGAGGCGACTAACGGAGTTGTGTGGTCAGTCTCGCTGACTTGGTTGATACATGTCATCGTAACCCAATTGCGTGGATCGAAGCTCATGATGTCAATCAGTGGATTGTCTGGTCCAGACTCGATCATTTACAGACCATGTATTGTTAACTGGAATAATACTGAGTGCGGCGGCTAGAAACAATCAAACAAAACAAAAAGAACATCTATAGTGTCTTCTAAAAATATCGATAGTGCATTTGATGATATTGTAACCTTCACACATTCTGAACTGGAGAAATGTGTCCTGAGAGACAATGGGAAGCGAAACAACGCCACAAAAAATTGTATAACCCATATTGGTCAAAGAAGCTTCAGTCTTACCTAGATGCCTGTTAAAGAACGTGAGGACGAATTTCGTACTAGAAAAATCGATAATAAGAGTAAAACTGCTTTAAAATATACATTTTTTCAGTAACGAGAAAGACATTTGACAAACTAAACAGGGAGTGCAAAAGACTATATCAACTAGAACAACAACGAAAGTGTTGCTTAAAGTGTATGACGCTTGTTCAACGAGAGATTTTTGGAAAGTCAGAATTGGTATCTCTAAAGAAAGATAGTTAGCATGAATTCCTCTTCGTGATGAGTAAACTTTAAGAACAAATATTATATGACGGTCTTACGTTAGGTTTCTATATACAATACACCTACTATATCCTACCAAGACACGAACATATTATTTAAGCATATTTATTCACAAGAAGTGAACGGGGTTGCGGTACAAGTTCTTCCAACTTATATTCCCCTCTCCCTGATGTGAGAGTGTGTCCAGAAATGCATTGTTATATATACTGTTCTTTACACAAATTGTTTAGTAGTACATATGTAAGGACCCGTGAAGATCCGGTTTAGAATAGGTCTTCAGCAACCCATGCCGTAAGATGCGACTATGCTTGTCGTATGAAGCGACTAACTGGATCGGGTGGTCAGGCTCGATGACTTGGTTGATGCATGTCATCGTACCCTCATTGCGTGGATCGATGCTCATGATGTCAATCACCGGATTGACTGGTCCACCGTCATGTAGCTGGAATATTGCTGAGTGCAGCGTTAAACAACAAACAAGCATATCTAATCTTGGACTACCTTAAATACACATTGCCATACAGTCTTGGGTTTACATCAACGGGTATGTTATGAACAATATTGTTAAGGAAGAGAATTTATGGATGTCAACTTCTTTATTATGAAGAACACAACGTTTCGGAGTGTATGCTTACTCCTTCATCATGTGAATGGATGCTATGAGGCAGAGGGCATATATATGTACATGTAAGAACAACAAAAGTAATAAGATAATAAAAGGTGGAAACTTAACAAGCATATGCTCCGAAACGTTGTGTTCATCATAACAACGAAGTTGACATCCATACATTTTCTTCCTTATCTGTATCACTTCTAAATGGTTAAAGCTGTCCAACAAAAAACTCAAATGAAAACATTCACTCACTCTTTGGAACTAAATTAAACATTATATCTGATACAAACACCCTCGTCTACCATTCTAGACAATGTATTATATACACACTGTATTACACACACACACACACACACACACACACACACACACACACATATATATATATATATATATATATATATATATATATATACCTCCTCCATACTACATGGAATGATAACAATGATAATTTTATCTGATGTATTCTCTCTGATGCCTTTCCGTATTTATAAAAGTGTTTCAAAAGAATAGATTAATAGCGAAAAACGCATCCTGTATCCAGTGTTTGATTTTAAAATCAGAAACAAACAAAAATAAATTTCTGTTTACTGGTTGTAAACATTAATAATATACTGTGAATGAAATCTGTCAGGGGTGTTGGTGGAGGCGTTATTTGTATGATTTTCCCGGTTCATAGAACGTGCGTAGATGTGGCTCCGTGTTTTAGTTTAAAGGGGCGTAACTCTCGATGCGACATCTAGTGGAACTGACGAGAACTAGTCAAGATAAACATTGAAATGACAACTTGAAGGCATTGCGTTTACAATGGATAAGGAAAATTACAGCCTCCGATCTGGATATCTTCTATCACAAGTAAGTGTTCAACGTGCATATGCAAGGAACATGAGGACTAAATAATGCTTTTATTTGAAATCAATCTTTTTGTCATTTCTGTTTTTGCCGATGACTTCCGGTGATTTCACGTTCATCAAATCCGATATCATGATGCATCGTTGTCTTAGTAAAAAAAACTGGGATAGCACATTTCAGTCCGGTTAACAGTAGTTAAGTATACATGGGATATTTCAGAATGTCCTTGATCTACATTTGTAATCGCTTCGGGCTTCAAGAAAAGAAACAGAAGATAAACATAAACTCACATTGACTCAAAACCAAGAATGTCAAGATTAGTCACGTATCCTGTTGAATTTGACACAGTGTCATGAACATGTTTTGCTGTTCGTATAATGATAATTAATAATGGTTTATACTGAATAACCATCTTGATTTTCTGCCAGTCTGGTAACTGTGATACCAGGTGCCTATCTTGGCAGCATGTCAAGCACACCAGTATCAGCGAGGAACAGCTGTTGTTGAAATATTGTTGAAATATTGTTGCAATGCCTCTGTGTTTCATCAAATATGTCCTTGATCTGCTGTTCTACAGTGTCATAATTGTACCAGCTGTTGTGTAACTGTCAATCCCCGCCGGGTTAAGTTAGTATGTGAATTAATTTAGTTTGTGACTGCCTTTACTTCGTTGAATAATTTAATTATTTTAAAGTGGCCATATTGGCATATCATATCACTGGAACTGCATGATTTGTATATCAGGATGTTTGTGGTAAATAGATAATTTATACTAACTTCCATGTGAACATGAAGAGGATGACAGATGTCTGGGAAAGATGCGCTAGCCTTCAGCAATTCAGTATCACCGGCACTCAGTTATTTCCAAATTTCCTTGATCATGTTGATTGTATTTCAGTAGTGTATAACAAATTATTTAATACTTAATAGGATATATAGCTGATACTGGTATAATAAGGAGGAATTGGCTTTAATGCTAAGTTCCACATGTTGTAATGTAATGTAAATATACAACATGTACAAAGTTAAAGACCTTTAAATTTACGAATATGGGAACTTTGAAAAATCCCTGTTTAAAACAAAATAAGGATTTCATTCCCAATTTCCTTGTCAAGGGCGCTTAGACTGGAAAACTAGATAAATCCCTGCTGTTACCACATTGTTACAAAACATGGTTCTTTATCAGGTTTATGATAAATGAACAAGGATTGATAAATGTTCAACATGTTCAAGGACTTTGTCTATTCATGCCCTATTCATCATTGTTCATGTCTATTCATGCCCTACTCGTGTCTATTCATGCCCTATTCATGTTTATTCATGCCCTATTCGTGTCTATTCATGCCCTAAAGATTTTTCAAGTTGGGAAATGACATGCATGATACACATGACAGACAATTGCCGTGTCAGAATTTAAACAGTTAATGAAATTGAAAAATGTCCTTATGTCATTTGACGTCAGCAAAATCACTCAGTGTAACATGATTTAAGTATATGAAAATATAAGTTGCATGTTTTGAGATGATTGATGATGTTGTTAGTTACGTCATATTGATAGTATCTGTTTTCATATCGACATGACTCAAATGGAGAGGGGTGGTTGACACATCACTACTGATCATTACAAGCCCATCCCAAAATGCAATGAATAGGACACACAACATTATTTGGTCCCCAGACTATTAAAGAAACAGTGTGGAGACTTGAAATATTTTTGGTTTTTTTGTTTGTTTTTTTTGTTTGTTTTTTTATTCTTTCTGAAACAAATTCTAAGCTGTTTTGTCAAACAATTTTGTAGTATAGGCAGTATCATACTGCTTATGATGCCAATAAACATAAATATCACTTTGTTAATCAGGATCTAATTTAAACAGTAACAGTGTTATCATGGTTATAACTGTGTTGTTTCAAAATTGTGAGTATCTTTTTAAATACATAACAATAAACATGATATGATAAACATGATAAAGAATGGTATATTATTTTCCTAGACTCTGCAACACAAACATATATGTTGTGAAACCACATTCCTTGAAACATTGTCAGTAGCCTATGCTTTCCCGTGTGACTGCTGTGTGGCCTAGTGGTAGAGCGTCCGCCCGGAGTGCAGAAGGTCAGGGGTCCAATCCCAGGTCATGTCATACCAAAAGATGTTAAAATATGGTACTTGTTGTTACCCTGTCTGGCGCTCGGCATTAAGGGGCTAACACAAGGACTGGTTGACTCTGAGTCAGTATACTGTGTATTTAGGTTAAATCGTGGCATGGTACCTCAATATGAAATCGGGATTAGTTCAGCAGTAGCCGCACACACAAACACACGCATGCATATAGCTATGTAAGTGCAATTATCTTGGATGTGACGGTAAACCCCATTTCACTCTCCTCACCTCATAAATTACAACCTGGGTTTAGAAACCAGTCAGATGAGACACATTGTCTGCAACATCTCCAGTTCACAGTCTGACCTCTCCTCGACTTAACACTGAACATATACTCCATGTACAACAGGAACTAACCATCTCGGCTGTTAAGAATAAAGTATTTGTTAATTTGAGAGTTTGCCATGGTGCAATGGTTGTCAAGTACAAATTATACCATACTTTATATAGTCATCCTACTGACTCCAGCTCACTAAGATTACTTCAAATCATTAATTCATTTAATCATTTATGATTATGAGTACTAAAATGGACTTCAGTTCACTCGATATACCGATAATCAGTGCAGTGTACGTAAGCGCTCGCTAGATCTATATACACATCAGTCAGGGGTCAGGGACAGTGATTACCATTGATTACTGTCGTATGCACAAATGTTGAGGCTGGCTGCGGTTTGTGAATTTGTCATTGTTGCTGTTTCTCAAACTCAAAGTGCTTTATCATAACGATCACTAAACAGAACAGCTTTCTAATTCCGAAAATGTCTGAAATGAAGCTTACTGACACAGTTAGTGATTTGTCATCGAATGTCATGTCCTGCCAGGTTTGATTTACGGCATCAAGATGTTTTGGTTCTTAAACATTTTAAAGTTGTGCAGCTTTGTTTCTGGGTAGTTATCCCATAAGTTGGGAAATGTTCATCATTTTCATTCTCTTCAAGGTTTGTTTTCCTTCTTCATCCTACCATTTTTGCCCAAAGAATCTGTAATGCAAGAAAGAGAATTGATGTGTTCCTACCATGTACAAAACTAAGATCGTTAATTCAGGACTTGTCCAGTTACAAGATAGTAACAGCCAGAGGCAGCAAAGCATGACCAGTGTTAGGGTGGAGTTAGGTAGTTCTTATGGTGGGTTACCTAAGCGAGGTCAGTTTAGTGTCAATCAAATGTCAGTCACCCGGTAAGCAAATCAGGAAGAATGTTAGGCAATCAACACATGCGCACACACCTCCCATTTGCTACTTGGGCGGTCGGGTAGCTTAGTGATCAAAGCGTTCGCTCGTCACGCTGAAGACCTGGGTTTAATTCCCGACATGGGTACAATGTGTGAAGCCCATTTCTGGTGTCCCCCGCATTGATATTGCTGGAAAATTGCTAAAAGCTGCGTAAAACCATAGTCACTCACTCCCATTTGCTATGAAAATACAATTTCTTCCTTAATCATGTTAATTCATGTGAATAATATGCCAATTTAATGGGAAAAAATACAAGGACTAAATTTTCATACACACTGGTAAAGAGATTGTAATTATCATGGTAATTTAGCCTTACATTATCTGCTACTAACACGAGTGTGTCTTGATTATCGACTGGTATGAAGTCTATTTATAGTCTTACCTCTGTCTAATTGAAACACTCCACTCGTAATATCAGAATTTGCCAGAGTTGAGGTCGAAACTAAACACTAAAATTATCAACATAGTTTCGGAATCACTCACATGGCTATATTGTACTGTAGACGATTCTCTTCCTTGCCTCCCCGAATGCAGTAGTGTCAAACCTTTCAGTTATTGTGATAGAAGTTTTAAACACAATGTTTAAACACACTAAGCTTGATCATGTTTTGTTATGCGAGTCTTATACCAGATTAGTAAGGAGCCAGACAGATACACCTATAAGCTGATAAGGCTATAAGCAGGGACATGGTTTTAGTATAGTATTATGCCCTCATGACAATTAACAACCCAAATATGGATGGTACTGTTCCAAGTGAAGTCTTTCGGATTATTATCATGATCGTGTGAGAAAGTAAAAGGGTCATTGTGATAAAACATAAAAGTGTACATGGTGTAGGGAATCCGTGAAGAACCGGGCTAGAATAGGTCTCAGCAACCCATGCTTGCCGAAACGAGGGACTATGCTTGTCGAAAGAGGCGACTAACGGGATCGGGTGGTCAGGCTCGCTGACGTGGTTGATGCATGTCATTGATCCCAATTGCGTAGATCAATGCTTATGATGTCAAACACTGGATTGTCTGGTCTAGACTCGATTATTTACAGACTCTCATCATATAGCTTGAATATTGCTGAGTGCGGCGTTAAACAACAAACAAATATGGTGTAGGGGGACCCTATTTTCAAATTCTATGACGGCAAACCCACGCGACCACCAATATTCTGAGACTTTTTCACACACTGATTAGGAGCAAATATCAAGTACCCCAGGACCCCCATCGGTTTTGATCATTGATGTTCATTTGACAACTTTCAGGTTCCAAACAACAAGTGGAAGGCGAGATGGTTTATTCTAAGTGAAGATGAGCTGACCTGCCATCGACAGCGACGGAAGTCTCTTGTCCTCAGCACCATCAACCTAACTGGCTGCTCCATCTTCTGCCCCTGCAATGACAAGCCTGAAGTCAGTCCTCAAGTAGGTTCAGAATAAGTCTCAGAATTCTATTTAGAGATTATTATACGAGCATGTGTGTCATACAGTTTTTACAAAACGAGTGTCAGAATTCTTGTATTTCCTGAGTGACAGCCGTCTTTGACAGCCGTCTTTGACAGCCGTCTTAGAAAACCAGAATTGTTGAATGACGTCAGCAATCTTCCGCTGTGACGTTATTCTGACCTTACGTTACAAGAGGTTTGAGTGACGTCAATAATATGGTCAGGATGACTTTAGCAAAAAATCAAAATCAAAATAATCTTCAAAACGTTTTCAGTATATTTCTTTTTTGCTCTGTCTCTTTGTATATCAACTATTTTAACCAAGAAAACTGTTGAACAAGAAATTAGTCACTCTGGCCTCACTTGAGTTTTATGAACATGATCACTAATCATCAATCATTTACAATCATGGAACTTTTTATATATGGACATGACAAAGAAGATGAACATTCCCACACTTTGGTCAGATAGCGTTAGGCTGAAGGTTTTTCCCAGCCGTGAAATATAGATTTGTTGCAAAAAGTTGGTACAAGAAAACAATGCATTCAGACAACATGGACAGGCATATGTTATTTCTGTATCTGTAAACGAATATATTCGGGATGATCCGATTGCAAAATAAAAAAGGACCCCATATTGTTATGTGTATTTTAGATGTTCTGTCATTTTTGAGTGCTGTGGCAGTGTTAGAAATTGGCACTAGTCCTATAGTCCTTGCCAAACTGCCCAATAGTAAAGATATCCTAAGGACTAGTAGAAATTTGCCATTTTTAAAGGTTTTGCTATATGTTATAATTTTATAAGGACTAGTGGACTGAAACTGTTAGTTTCTACCGCTGCATGGCATCTATATCCAAAAGGTGTTCTGTGAATGTTTTTGTTTGCATAGTTCAAGATATCCAAATTGAGTCAGCAATGTCCTCAGATCTTCACTCAGAGTCAGAGAGGGATCGAATCAGAGTAAAAATTTCTAAAATATCTGGTATTAATGAGATTGGGATTATTGATATTGATATATGTGCACAAGTTTGTTAGATCATGTACATGATCATCATGATCATGAAGATAAATAATCCAACCAGGAAGTATTGGCTACATAAATGTTGACATTAACTTTAACTGGCAGGATAAGTTTTGCTACTTGTGACCAAGTGACCGTGACACAATTTAAGGAAATATTTACAAAAGCCAACATAATGGTGTCCTCAATAGAGACACGATAGAGGTCATGGCTGTTCCTGCTGCCATGAGCAGTTATTTTTGGCTTGTACACTTTATTTCTTTGATCAAGGCCATATACTGGGTACATGATCTAGGTTGTAAAGCAACTAAAATGACAGCACCAATTCTATAATAAATGAATGAATGAATGAATGAATGAATGAATAAATTTAAAGTTGTACACACACAGCCTGACAACACAAAAGTTTATACCTTTGTTAAATGTGAATCGCTGCGTCACACATGACTTTCATACTTTGAAAAATGTAAACACAAACTTTAATTATTTTTTATTTTCGGATTTTATACACATGATACATGGGCAAATAAATATATAAATAAAGTATAAGCTCAATGATGTCTGCATCCTCAGTTGTCCAGGTATTATATATCTCCATTTTTTTTATTAATACCCTGGACCCATTTGCTCATATTGCTTTGTTTTGAGCCTGATTTGAATGGCTCAAGGATAACATTGCCATCCAATCAGACGGCTCTCATGAGCAAAAGAAATCCTGTGCTAGGTTTGAATAGAAGCCATGTAGATGTGACATGACTTCCATAATGAAGGTATCGTGGTGAATGAGTCCAGGGTATAATTTATCATGTTAATCATAACAGAATGGAGATCATTTGTAATAAACTGGATAAATCATAATCATAATAATTTATCATGTTAATCATAACAGAATGGAGATCATTTGTAATAAACTGGATAAATCATAATCATAATAATGGAATGGAGAGATAACACACTGGATAATGAAGAATGTGATGAATCATGGGATGGTTTCATCTCATTTGCTGAGGTTGCTCTGAGTAGGCCTGTCATGGTGATTACATTACATGCTAATTAGTTCCAAGTGATAAACAGCTATGATAATAAACTTCCTTGCATTTGCAATTTACATTCACAATTTTGTCATGAACCATAAATTTCTGTTGACTGACTAGTATTGACAATTGATTGTGTTATTGTTACTCTTCTTTACCCTGTGTATATCATGTTCATGTTTATCAATTTGATGGGGCGGTGATGTAGTCTTGTGGTAAACATGGTTAAGGCATTCACTTGTCACGCCTAAAACCCAGGTTCGATTCCCCACATGGGTACAATGTGTGAAGCCCATTTTTGGTGTTCCCTGATGTAATATTGCTGGAATATTGATAACAGTGGCGTAAAACCATACTTACACATTCATTATCAGTTTGATTTATTTTTCCCATGCATTTTCCATCACTATGATCGTGTGTTTGTTCTGATGCCAGTGCCTGTTCAAGCTGTCTACTCCGGAAGGTACAATGGGTACAATGTGTGAAGCCCATTTTTGGTGATCCCTGATGTAATATTGCTGGAATATTGATAACAGTGGCGTAAAACCGTACTCACACATTCATTATCAGAGTGATTTATTTTTCCATGCATTTTCCATCACTATGATCGTGTGTTTGTTCTGATGCCAGTGCCTGTTCAAGCTGTCTACTCCCGAAGGTACAATGGGTACAATGTGTGAAGCCCATTTTTGGTGATCCCTGATGTAATATTGCTGGAATATTGATAACAGTGGCGTAAAACCGTACTCACACATTCATTATCAGAGTGATTTATTTTTCCATGCATTTTCCATCACTATGATCGTGTGTTTGTTCTGATGCCAGTGCCTGTTCAAGCTGTCTACTCCCGAAGGTACAATGGGTACAATGTGTGAAGCCCATTTCTGGTGTTCCCTAAATAATATTGCTGGAATATTGATAACAGTGGCATAAAACCGTACTCACACATTCATTATCAGTTTGATTTATTTTTCCATGTATTTTCCATCACTATGATCGTGTGTTTGTTCTGATGCCAGTGCCTGTTCAAGCTGTCTACTCCCGAAGGAGAAGAGTTGTACTTCCAGGCAGCAGGAGCCGATGACCGAGATGGTTGGGCGCACGCCATCGGTGCCGTCATCCGCTCACAGAGCACGTCTAAGCAGGTCAGTGTAACCCTACAGAACAGATGAATTCTGTCTTGGCTAAACTGTTTTATTTTGTCAAGACCAACACATTAACCATGTTACTGATCCATTTCCTCCAGTTTTGTTCTCACGCAAACACAGACAGATATTGTGGCCATTAGCATTAGCCTCAAGTATCATTCACAGGAATCAGGGATTTGGTGGGATATTCACTTTGATAGAATTTGGATGCTGAAATCATGGAAATGATCCAGTGAGATTATTATATTAGCATGTCTATCATGCTGATTTTACAAAACGAGTGTCAGAATTCTTGTTTCCTGAATGAGAGTTTCATAAAATGAGTATGATTCATATGCGAGTGTAATAATCTTTTTATTACCCTTATTTCATAATCTTTTTTAGCTTCTCTTTAGAAAAATGCACTGATCATGTCCACCATCTTAGAAAACCACAATTTTTCAAATGACGTAAATAATCTTCAGCTATAACCATGATAACATTGTGTCTGGTGTGACATCCTTCCGACCTAACAATAAGATTTGAATGATATCAACAATGTCAGCTGGATGACGTAAACAATACAGTGGTGTGCTTGAAGGGATATTTGCTCTTGTGCACATACAATTGTTATGAACTCGTTTTTTTCTAACCCTATATTGGTATAAAACATTATATAAATCTTTATATCTCCTTTTTAATGATGTTTGACTTGGTGAAAGACAAGTAAGTCACTACATGGACTAGAATGCAGTACAGTAGAAGAGTAGAAACATACTGGACTGATAAGCCATACAAAAGATGTGTTTGTAGTGATGTAGTAATAATTACCGGTATTTACTTGTAACCTTCCCTATGAGGGGCGGTGGGGCAGCCTAGTGGTTAAAGCGTTCGCTCGTCACGCTGATAACCCAGGTTTGATTCCCGACATGGGAAAAATGTGTGAAGCCCATTTCTGGTGTCCCCCGCCGTGATATTGCTGGAATATTGCTAAAAGCGGCGTAAAACCATACTTGCTCACTCACTCACCTCCCTATCCAGTTTCCCAGCAGCTGCCACCATTGATTCTTGATACAAATGAGGCACATTGCACACAATTATGGTTTTCATGAAGTTATTCTTTAGCATGATTAAAAGTTTGGCAACAGTGTTTCCTAAAAAAAAATAGCCGAGAATAACAGCACAATGAAGCTTGATATTTCAGTAATCAGTCATTCTTTGTATGTGTAGACAATTATTCTGACAATGTAAAGTATTGAAAAAAGATATTAATAAAGCAGAAATTTTATATTCAATAAATATATGAATTCAGTCGACGTTTCCTTTTGTTGACATTTGTTTGCATATATTTTCAGATATCCTATAACAAGATGACATTCCAGAACTTCAGGGCATATGCTAATGTTAGGTAAGGAGTTGACCTGTTGACTGGTTGATAGGGTTTCTCAGGCACTGCCCGCATCATCATAAGTTCACAGCACTTTTCGTTTATATTTCCATTTTTAAAATGTGTGAAGCCCATTTCTGGTGTCCCCTGCCGTGATATTGCGGGAACATTGCTAAAAGCGGCATATAGTCATACTCACTCTCTCACTCCATTTAAAAAAAAAAAAAAATAGTCCTTATATACTGTTTATTTGGTTACATACTAGTTTGAACCATGCCCCTCCCCCCCCCCCCCCCTAAAAATACCACCTCCACCCGCACTTTATTTTCAAAAGCCATTGTCTGAGAACCAATTCTTTTATTTTTTTAAGCCTAGTATTTGCATTTTATTCTAATATGCATGTACATGTTTACTCAGTAGGAACTGATGTTATGTGTTATGCTTGTGATAAAGAAATCCCATTATGCTCATGTAGATTGGTTGCTTTGAAGTTTTGCAATAATTTCGAAGCCACTGCACATTTTTCTTGAAACCAGGAAGCTAGAGGTGGTCAGGTATGGGAGATCTCAGGGATATCAGGTCTCCTGTAGACACACGGTAGGCGTGGTAGAGCATGTATTGCCAGGGGAAATGTTTTTGATCATTCATGTCATTGGTGAAGGTCTTCTTTAAGGTCATGGCAGATCATAAGATATCTTAAGAAGTATATTGTAGGTATGTGAAACTTAGTAATGTCATCCTCAGGATGTGTAATGTTCTCTGCTGCTATATAAATATCAACTTGACGGGAAACTGTCCTGGAATTGAAGGCACAACTAACACAGTCGAGAGGCACTTCAGAATTGATTTGTTAAGTACAAATCATGTGACATTCACAATAGTCTCGCAAGACTTCAAGGCATGAATGGTGGCATCTCAAAATTGATACATAACAGGATGGGGCTACAAAAAACTCTTGAATCACTTCCATGAAAGAATCAAGGTCACTGAGAAGGGATTTGAAAAGAATGTGTGCCATTTTTTAGATCAAAGTGCAATGCTTTTTTATGATGTTCATGCAGTTATTTTGAATTTTTCTGCACATAGTGGTTACCATGGTTACAGGATTACTAATCATGTTAATGTATGACAAGTGATCTTATTATAACAGTAATAGGTCACCATGACCTACTTTCAAGAGTTATTCCAGATGTAGTATGTGTGGTATATCTGTTCAACTCCATCCATCATACGGGATTGGTTGAATTTAGGGTCAAGGTCATTAGAATTGAAGTGCATATATCTTTATTATTAGACGTGGAACTTTGTTTTAAGGTCATACCTGTGTTTTAGCAAACCAGAAATAATGTCTGTGATCAGTATCACATATGACTTTGTTTTAACTGATTAAGGTAGTTTTCACATGATGAAGATAATGAAACGTTTTTTAACTTCGATGTAAGGAAGCTAGAGGTTTGGGACCTTCTGTTTTTAAGTTGTACCAGTGTGTATTCGGGTGCAGGAATCAAGTGGTTGCTTCCCTTAGCCATACCAGGATCTTCTTGTCATAGGTTGGAATTCAAGATTTGCCTTGGTTATTATGTTAGGTCTGTCAGCGATAATTGATTGGGTGGTCATGCTTGGTGACCTGGTTGATTTTGCTCATAATATTAATCACTGGAATGTGTGGTCCAATGACCGTGTGTATGTTTGTGTTTCAGTGAAATTATTGGTGCTATCCAGGATCCGGATGCAGGTGTCAACACCAGTGCACATCTCCGGGGCGGGGAAGTCTACAAAAACTGTTTTAAAGGTATCACTGAAAACATCGCTCTTGATTTCAGACTACATTTCCAAGCACTAGCACCATTGATATAAGCACCAGGCACCAGCACGGGGTTCAAAACCCGGCCCCGTCATACCAAAAGACATAGAAAGATGGTACTTGTTGTTACCCTGTCTGGCGCTCTGAATAAAGGGGCTAAAACAAGGACTGGTCGGCTCGGAGTCAGTATACTGTGTCGGAGTGGGGTATTCATGTTAAACTGTGGCATGGTATCTCAGTGGGCTAGCACTATAAATCGGCATCAGTTCGGACTAGTACAAGCAGCCACATTCACACACACGTACATGCACGTCGCTATATAAGTGCAATAATCTTGGACGCGGCTTAAACCCAATTTCACCTCACCACACCATATAATATTCTGATAAAAACTAATAAGCACTCATCCAGTTGTCAGCTGTCAACTTCTAACAAATGCCTATCAAACAATTCAACACTTTCCATACTTATGAGGATAGCTGCCAACTGTCCAGAATTTATCGTACTTATTACAAATTTGCAGCTAAAATACGATTTCTTCCTTAGTTCATACAAATGATATGCCAATCTGCACAAACAAAATTACTAGGACTAAATTCATAGACACCGGGAAAGAAAGGCCATTATTTAGCATTACACTGTCTGCTACAATGATGAGGGTGTCTTCCTTATCGTATGGTATGTGTTCTATTTATGGTGTTGCATCTGTCCTCTCAAGACACTTCTCTCATATTATTGGAAGTTACTGTAGTCAAAATAGGAATGAATGGATAGAACTATAAACTGAGTTTCGGATTCAATGGCTGTTTTGTGCTGTAGACTTTGGTGTCCATACCAGAAGATCAGAACAAAATACAGATTGCTATTTGGGAAAGTTGGTAGCTATGCATTAAGTGTGTTGCAACTTTAAGAGATTTATTCTGAGAATATCACAGGTAATAGAATTGCAGTTTCCAAAACATTTATCATTGCTAGTTCTATTGGCTAAATCATGTGGGTGATCATGGTATGTGTTGGCATTAAATGGTCATTTCTCTGTACACCAAGCCGATGTTATGTTTCTTTTGTCTATGTATTGTTGCATGGAGTCCAAACTTTTGAAAAGGATTATGTAGATGCATTTTAGTTCAATGTGTTTGTATGTCAGTAAGAAAGTTCAACCAATATGTTCATTGATCACTCTGATCCCATGTGATCTTGTGCGTCTTTTCCCCAGGGAGTGATGTCGTCGATTGGCTAATGCGCTGGTCCATCGTTCGGAATCGTGAAAATGGTTCAGCCATGGCACAGACCTTACTGAAACTAGGTCATCTGCAAGAAGTCGACCTCCATGATGGCAGCAGTGGTGTCAGCCCCAAGTTCAATGATGGGGAGAAACTGTATCGATTTGTGAGTGATCTTTTATGTAAGGTCTTAACATGACTTGGTGAAATGGAACGTTGGCATTATTCCTCATAATTTGACCTATTAAGGTGTGCTGTTATGTTATATGCTCGTAGATAAGTATAGGAGCTGTGATGGCCTTATGATTTAGACTGAAACGTTTCACAGATGACCACTTGTGTTCCATGATGTCAACCTCAGTGATATCATACATGATATATATATATCAACCCAAGGGCCGAAGGCCAGAGGGCTGATATGGGGTCAAGGGTTCATATATGGTATGATACGAAAACTGCCATTTAATAACCTTTTTTATCTCATACCACAACATAAAACTGTAAAAATGTATCTATTTGCAAGTGAATGTAAAACATTTTCACCTTGTTTGGAAGTCACTGTCACAGGAAAATAGCTGAACAGACAACGCACCAAGGGACGTAACTCTAATTTCATACCACCCTGGCTGATATCGGCCATTGAAAATGCATTGACAAGCCATATCAGCCTGACCCCTAGGGGGTGTATAGTCTAGTAATGCGGGTCTGGTTATTACACCCCCTGTGATATGAACATCTCCATTTTGGCTCTATTGCACATGCAAAATGCCTCATGTCATTGTTAGGTATATGATAACTCAATTTATCATCTCCATTTGTCCAGAAAGGGACCTTATCGTACCTTCTCCTGTCCTTACATTAGGCAAATTCCTAGATTTTGCTTTGGATTTGGTGAGGGAGTTACCTCTGATTATGTCACACTAGCAAGGTGTATTTTAGATCAAAATGAAGATAATAATGGTTTTCATTATTTTGTTACAGCTATTGATGCTATCAATAGTATACATGGTATAGCATGCAGCATTGATATTCACTATAAGGGTCTTGTAGAAATTGCAGGCATTGCATCAGTTGTACAATCAATAGTTACATCCCTGTAAACAGAGGTGAACAATTACTTCTCCTGTACTAGATGATGTAGATAGTCTGTGATAATAAATGATGCAGGCTTGAGACAATTGTTTGAGGAAAACATCATGACATGCATCACATTTTCTCAAGATTCCTCATTCATTTCAGACATCCATCAACCTAGGGATAAAACGGAACAGTTTCTATGACAGCACCGATGAAGACTCCAGCTCCTCCGATGATGATGAGGATGAGGGCGAGCGAGAAGAGGTCAAAGTTGAAAAGGTCAAGAAGGGAAAGCTTGTCAAGGAATCCTTCCTCATGAAAAAGGTGTTTATGCTATTGATATCAACATGATGATGTTTATGATTACTATAACGACTGAAACAATATTGTCTGGATAAGACAGGGATTAATAATACATGGTATAAAACAGTTGCTTAAGTAAAGAGTAGTGGAAATTGATAGACGTCAGGACTGAAATGCTGTAATTGAGAGTGTATTCTTGTATGAAAGCACAATATGCACTTGTTTTGTCTATCACTGCATGTTTATGATGATGATGATGATGATGATGATGATGATCAAACAAGGCTCTTAACATTTCCAGTATATTAGTGTTATCATTTGTACTACTATTGCCTTAGCTCACTGGACTGAACAGAACTTTACTAGACTCGGTCGAGTGGCTAACCTCACAGACAAGGTCATCAGTATTTATATGTGAAATGTTAATGTTATAGAAGAACCTGCGGAAGGGCTGGAGACTTGTGAGAGCTACGCTGAGAGAGAACCCGTCATCACTACACTACCACAAGGCGTCATATACAGAGGTAGTTGGGACTCAAGCTTTAGTTCAACAGAATAGAAAAAAACAAGTAACTACATTGTCAGAAATAATCTTCTTTATATGCATAATACATTCCTGCATTCACAGACTTCGTCATGGCATAACTGTTACAGTGTGACATGCCTAGGAATGACCAATGGGGGGCAAGTGACACTATGTACATGGTTCAATAATAAGCTACTATTTTGATATTTTTTTCAAGAGTTTGGTTTGAAATATGTTTATGAACAGTGTCACTGTTTCTTGGTTGAATTGGGGGTGGTTGAGTAGCCTAGTGGTTAAAGCGATCACACTCGTCACGCCAAAAATCCGGGTACAATATGTGAAGCCCGTTTCTGGTGCCCCCAGCCGTCATATAGCTGGAATATTGCTGAGTGCGGTGTTAAACAACACGCTCGCTCGCTCGCTCGCTCACTCACTCACTCACACTCACTCACACTCACTCACACTCACTCACTCACTCACTCAATCCCACTCACTCACGCACGCACGCACGCACTCACGCACTCACGCACTCACTCACTCACTCACTCACTCACTCACTCACTCACTCACCTACTCACCCACTCACTCACTCACTCACTCACTCACTTCACACTGATCAATGTGTTCACTCATGTCTAAGCACTTTATGTTGGGATGTCATATCTGTTGTTTATGTCCAGTTACAGTCTTTTAATCCGGCCACCAGCAAATTCCATTGTAAATCACACTTCAGCTGAAGCATCAGAGACATTTGTGTTCATTGTCATGTTTGGATTTTCAGGGTTGTGAAAATCAGATCAACAGTAAGATGATGAGTCTCGATAACTGTGTTGTCACGGAAACTGTGAAGCCAGCCACGACCAGGGGTGAGTTTGTGCAGTGTAGGAGCCAGAATCACAACAGGATCAGGATAGGAGTGTCTTACTTGTCCTTTCCTGTGCAGGAAGCTTGTCTAAGTTGGTGAAGGTGTGAGGCCAGACTAGCTTCAATATCTAATATTTTTCCTATCATATATTGATTTTGAGACAATACCATAGGATGTACAAGACCTTTTCTTTCCACAATGTTTCAGTTCAATATTTGTCAATTTAGCCTCATATAAAGACCTTTCAATGTTGGATTAATGTCTCACTCGTTAATGTCTAGATGACCTACATGTTATATATGGGTATAATCAGGATTTGTGTTAAGAATCAAAAGGATATACCGTATTCGACGTAATAAGCGCCCAGGGCGGTCTCAAAATTAGAAATAGGGGGCTCTTATTAGAATGTTATTTTGTTGAAAAAAAACAGAGTTGAAAGATAAATTTCGTGGTTTATGCTGACAGCCTGAAATGTTTATGTACGACAGATATATTTTTCCAGAATTAAATGCCCATAATCAAGGGTGCATAGAACACACGAGTGTGTATTTTACGCGAATAAATAAGTCTTGTGTACATTGATCAATCAGAAGGGGTGCTAATTGGGATTGTTCACTAGCCAATATCTTAGCAAATGTCGCCGTGGGCGCTTATTAGAGCGGGGCGCTTGTTACGTCGAATACGGTAGTGCTTAATGCACATCACCTCCCCAAAATAGACGCTTGTGAGTATAGTAGAGAGATATTAATTTTTTACTATGGGTTCTTTTCCCCGAACCATTTGAGGTTTACAGGCCATCGTTTAAATAGTTAGAATATAGACTCACTATTACATTAAAGAATATTCACTCTCTCCTTCGCTGACTTATTTCTCTGTCCGGACTTGATTGTGTACAGGCCACATTGAAATGGCTCGAATAATACCAACGTCATTCACTCACTCACTCAATTCACTGACCTGCACCCCGTGTGCATTTTGGTTTAGAATTGGTCCCCAGCGACCAATGTTGGTAGTAAGATTTGTTTGTTTGTTTGTTGTTTAACGCCACACAAAGCAATATTCCAGCTACATGATGGCGGTCTGTAAATAATCAAGTCTGGACCACACAATCCAGTGATTGACATCATGATCATAGATCCATACAATTAGGATCAATGACATGCATCAACCAAGTCAGCGAGCCTGACCACCTGATCCCATAAGTCGCCTCTTACGACAAGCAGAGTTGCTTTTTACAGCAAGAGTGGGTTGCTGAAGACCTATTCTACCCCGGATGTTCACGGGTCTAGTAGTAAGAGGATCAGGTGGTCGGACTCCCGATGGCATGGATCATTGCTCACAATGTCAGTTAGTGGACTGTCTGGTCGGTTTGATTATGTAGAGGCTACAATCATATAGCCGGAATATTGCTGAGTGCAGCATTAGCAACAAACAAAGACTGACGTTCATGATGGTGATTCTACTATGTATATACCTTCGTGTTCCAGGTATGGGGACCAAAGCCAAGAGCGTCAGATATCGGTTATGTGTGAAGGATCGCAAGGGGAAGTGTGTCACTCTTCAGACGAAGGACGAGCAAGAGAAGTTTGAGTGGCTCACGGTTCTTCAGCAGCTCACAGTGTCACCCAAACCCCAGACAGACGACCGAGGGCCCGAGTAGGTGCTCGGGGGCACCGAGCTGTCCTGGGGCACCAGAAGATGTTTGTTCCACACGAAGCTGGCACAAAATGCCCTTTGACATGTTTTAGAGAATTGAAGGCCATATTTGTAGCACAGCTCAAGATGAATTGTGAAATATTTATTTGAGAGTTTTGAGACATTTTAGCTTTATTAACAGGGTTTTTCAATTTTTCAATTTGTTGTGAGGTTCAGCTCTACTGGTTGAGATTAACTGTAGTTGGAGATGAAATTGTTGTTATTACAAAAGTGTTCGTGTAATACATACTGATGAAGAGAGATTTGTGAGAAATGACATAAAGCTGATTGAGGAGGAATATGCATTGATGCAGAATAAAGTGCATGCATACGATTAATACAGTTATATATACAGAGGTTAAGTGTCTAAACCAAAAATAATCCATTGGATAATACGAAGCACATCACTTGTTTGACGTCAAGATGTAGATACTGATGTCATATTAATCCTTTACCAGTTTTAGTGTGTTTGATATTAACATGAACATCATCATGACAATCATGAAAAAATCATTGTGAGAACAAAAAGCTGCCTTAACCAAAAACAAGGGAAACTCACCAAATTGAAACTTGCATTATATTTGTGTCCTTATGCTACACATAGTACCTGTGATCCACTTGATAGGGCTGTTTACCTGTGTGAGTGAGTGAATAAGGCTTTGGTCGTAGTCAGCAATATACAGCTATATCACGGCAGCCAGGTATCTGTAATGAGTCCTAGATAGACCGGTTGCAAGCATGGATAGTTTGAGAAGTGACCAATGGCTAGATCGCACACAAACATTTATCTACCTGGTGTCACCATCCAGACTGTATCCATGCTTGGCCGCCATTGTGACCATGTAATCACCATATGAATTGGTCTTATGATTCATTGGTAAAGATGATCTAGCCTGTTCCGGAATCCCTGATAATCACTTGAGTTGCTTTACTACAGGTTTAGATACACCACATTCCTCCATCACCTGTTTTTATATGTCTCCACTTTGAAGTGATGTGGGTCTATTTGAGTATGCTTATGAAATGAGGCTGTTTGTAAGTCATGGAAGTCACACTACTTTGTGCAAACCCTACCACATCCAGACATTAAAGCAATATGTAGAGGTTGGTTTGTTGTTAAACGCCGCACTCAGCAATATTCCAGCTGTATGACGTCGGTCTGTGAGTAATCGAGTCTGGACCAGACAATCCAGTGGTTGATATCATGAGCATCGATCCACGCAATTTGGATCGATGACATGCATCAACCAAGTCAGCGAGTCTGACCACCAGATCCTGTTATTTGCCTCTTACGACAAGTATAGTCGCCTTTTACGGCAAGCATGGGTTGCTGAAGACCTTTCTACCCCGGAACTTCACGGGTCAATATGTAGAAGAGACAGCCTCAAGGCTATTACACATGTGATCTAGCGAGATGTAACCCGCCAGCTCGTTGGTCACAGTTTAAAGCCTTTACTTTCATAGGTTTCAAATGGCGACTACGCTGCATAAGAAGACGAGGATTCATAGGTGATGGAGGCACATGGTGTATAAAATTCCTGTAGTAGTTCAAATGTTTGAGGGGGGCACGGGTGGCCCAGTCGTCTAAGGCGCCACGATTCACTGTGCAGAGTTGCGTCCATTGGGCACGCCAGAAACCTATGATTGTGGGTTCCATTCCCGGTTAGCCCCGATTATGTTTCTAGGTTTTTCAGCACCATACCCGTGCTCGTGGGTTTCACCGAAGTGGTAAACGTCTGAGACCTTCATCACTTCGGGCTTTCCTCCCACATTAAGCTGACACGCCGCGATATTACTGGAATATTGTTAAAAGCGGCGTTAAACCCAACTCACTCACTCAAATGTTTGAGTCACTGTTACGACAGGCGTGGGATTACAGGATCCTGCTCCAGAATCCCTAGGATCCCAGGAAGGTTTATCATGTTTAACTGAAGTCACTGCCATCTGGTTGCACGGTGAACATTTGTTACTCTGGGCACACTGCAATGTGCTTGATAGGCAATAAGCACCATGAAGCATTATGTGTAAGCTGCATGTTAATACGTACCATCATATATCTGCTATATACAATCATGTGAGATATTATCATGATTATGTGGACAAATGATAACGTTAAGTCATATACGTAAAAGTATGATGATATTGACAAGTGATTAACTTAATATTTAATCCCCAACGAATCATGGTGTTGCGATTTATGCAGGCTAATACGCCACAGTCATTGATTTAACTACACTTTGTCTTTGCTTCACTTGATATTACTCTGCAGCATCTGCTTGTAGACTGCACTTGGTTGTGCGGCTAATTAGGAGAGTTTCATTTCGTGATGACGTCCTGTATTGCTGGGTTTGAACAATCTCATTAAAATCAGATCTTGGTTTTCGCTACCGCTAAACAAAGATCTGAGGACATCCTATTACGGGTCACGTCAGAACAACCTTTCGCGAATTTTGACCGACCAATGAAATGACTGACAAGAACTCGACATTAGCCAATCAGAAGGCAGCTTTCTCGAGCTTCACAACACAAGTTTCAAACTGGCGACAACGCTTCGAAACATATTTTGACGTATTCTCGGTTAAGAAGATTAAAACTGATAAGAAGAACATTCTGGAATGGCTTATAGATGACCTAGGTTGTATGGATATAATCATAAAACCCGTAACTGTCGTTCGGAATACCCCGTGTTAAATATTTCATGGTTGCATGATTAGAAAACACATTCCGACTGTCACTTTCATGATCTGGTAAGCGATGCTCTGATTGGTTGGATGAAAGGTCGTTCTCACGTGACCCTTAATGGGATGTCCTCAGATCGTTGTTCAGCGATAGCGAGAACTAAGATCTGATTTTAATGAGATTGGGGTTTGAAATTCTTGTATTTCAGTGCTGATGGCACAATTGAAATCCTAATGGCATTGTTAATATACTACACTGTGTCTGAAGAGTACACTTAGCAATTATATATTTTTAATGTTTATTTATTAACCACAAATAAGGATGATAAATGTGCCAAACTTGTGACAAATGATGAACAGAGGAACATGCTAATAAAATATATTTGGGTATTCAGAAATGAAAAAGGGTGTTATCAATCTCTGAAGAAGAGGGAGATAGAATTATAACTACATCTTCTCTGACTTGGTGAAAGCATATTCATCGAGTTTGATGATCAGTCAAAATGATTCTTCTAGTTGGTATACTGTAATTCCTTATTTCCTGAATTGCATGTAAAGCTGTAGAGAACTTGGGTCCCATTCCACAAAGTGATCGTAGCTATGACTGTCGTAAGTCTATGTTAAGATACAGGAATGATGACTGTTGTAAGCCTATATTAAAGTATGGGAGTTACGACTGTTGTAAGCCTTTGATAAAATATAGGAGTTATGACTGTTGTAAGCCTTTGATAAAATATAGGAGTTACGACTGTTGTAAGCCTATTTCAAAATATTTTGTTAAAGTATGGGAGTTATGACTATTGTAAGCCTGTAATAAAGTATGGGATTTACAACTGTTGTAAGCCTATAATAAAGTATGGCAGTTACAACTGTTGTAAGCCTATGTTAAAGTATGGGAGTTACAACTGTTGTAAACAGTATGTTTGATAAAGTATGGGATTTACAACTGTTGTAAGCCTATAATAAAGTATGGCAGTTACAACTGTTGTAAGCCTATATTAAAGTATGGGAGTTACGACTGTTGTAAGCCTTTGATAAAATATAGGAGTTACGACTGTTGTAAGCCTTTGATAAAATATAGGAGTTACGACTGTTGTAAGCCTATTTCAAAATATTTTGTTAAAGTATGGGAGTTATGACTATTGTAAGCCTATAATAAAGTATGGGATTTACAACTGTTGTAAGCCTATAATAAAGTATGGCAGTTACAATTGTTGTAAGCCTATGTTAAAGGATAGGAGTTATGACTGTTGTAAGCCTATAATAAAGTATGCGATTACAACTGTTGTAAGCCTATGTTAAAGTATGCGATTACAACTGTTGTAAGCCTATGTTAAAGTATGGGAGTTACGACTGTTGTAAGCCTATAATAAAGTATGGGATTTACAACTGTTGTAAGCCTATAATAATGTATGGGAGTTACGACTGTTGTAAGCCTATAATAAAGTATGGGATTTAAAACTGTTGTAAGCCTATAATAAAGTATGGCAGTTACAACTGTTGTAAGCCTATGTTAAAGTATGGGAGTTACGACTGTTGTAAACCTATGTTAAAGGATAGGAGTTACGACTGTTGTAAGCCTATGATAAAGTATGTTAGTTAAGATTCTCTTAGCCCTACTATTGCTTTGTGGGATGAGGACCTGTTCTGGGTATTGGTCTTTCTTTGTTTGGTACTCATAGTAGTGGTGACATTCCCCTTAAGTAGAAAGTTTTTAAAGCTAACTGATGCTATAGGATACACTCAATTATCAAGGGTATTGTCTACAGTTTTCTAAAACCATTACGAAGCCAAGAGGAAAATAACTACCATCTTGATCGATTGTTGACAGTTTGACCATGTAGATGTGTGTGACTTATACCCTATATTTATGTAAAAGTAATAAGGGGAACGTCTGGTTAATATACCACTGAAGCAGAACAGCCTGAGGTCCTGTACTTGTGAAGTCATTGATAAACTGTTGATTTGTGGAAGTAGTGTATATTACTGGTATCCAGGGCGATCTGGAAACACGGACACCCTGTAAACACAGGATTCTAGCTATTTGTTTTAAACTGTTGATATACCTGATACTAACAATCGTATTGAAAGGTGAGAATTACAGCGTTGTTCAAAGTGTTGTTAAGTTTGATTTTAATCTTGATTCAATGGAGAAATACGGAATTACATCACAACTCATTTTCATTGTTGTGTTAATGATAACGTTGTTTGTTTTGTGCATGCTGGTTACTGGTTCTAAATTGGAATTTGGGTTTTCTTTTAGGTTCTGGGTTTTATCTTGTCAATAATTAAATGTTAACTTATAATTTTAAGATTCACCTTTATCCAGAATTTGCAATAGATGTCTTGATTCTACTGAGCTTGTATTGAAGAATGTCACTTTTCTTGGGGTGTACTGTTGTTAGAGAGAAACCGTTCTTATTTAATTCAAATGAATTTAAACAGGTGCCCATTTTGCAAATCTAAGTGCTCCAATTGCTCACAAAGCTCAATCTAAACTCCATCCATTGACACTTATAATCTGCTCAGTCTGGACACAGACACATTAGAAGATGTGCATCTGATGAAATCTTGGGGACATTTACCTCAACCAAAGATATGTCAAGATGCAATGTTGAAATCTACATACAAGGTTAAGTTAATTAACTTCTGTAAATTAGATATAATATTGTCCAGGTAAGCATTGGAACATGTGTTCTGATCTCTTTATTTCTTAATTTACAGAGTTTCTTAATGAATATACCAAGAGGTAAAATATACACAATTATTGATAGGGATGATTTGAGATTTATTTCATCAAACTCCCTCATGAATTAAAAAAATCAACAAAAATATTTTTAACTAAACACTTAGTCTGTCTTTCAGATCCTGATTCAAATATATCAAATACAGCCCATGCAAGTCTATAATGTTTGGCAAGTCTAGATTACTGCAGTATCAGTATCTGAAAATGAAGAGAGTCTCTGGGCTCCTTTTCATTATATTTTTAAGATAATTTAACTTAGATATTTAAATAAGATAATTTAACAACTGTTATTTTTTTTCTGTACGATATGTTCATTTCAGAGACTAGATGTTCGTCTACCAAACACTGCAATTTTATTTAAATATATATTTCAATATTACAAATTTATGTGAGCTGTCCTGGCAAAAACGTATTGTGAACTGTTACAGATTACTACCTATCTCATGCACACGGAATATTTTCACCCACCTCATCATGGTTCATGAGCAGCTAACATGTTTGAATCGATGGACATTCAGGTTTAGCAAGACATTAACTATAAGGACTCGTGAACACTATACCCGCCCAGTGATAACGTGCCTTCGTGTCACAGTCATTGTTTATCAATAAACATTGTTGTATCACACACCAAAGTCTCTGACAATTATCATCATTATCTCAGCCGTGTTCATCAAACTGCCAAACTTGCCATGATTCCACTGGCTGATCATCCTACGCATGAAACTTGGAAAACGTCACAGGCAGCAAGGAGAATCACTCCTTTCAGCAAATGTTTGAAATTCCTGTAAAGGATTATTCGT